GTGCACAGAGAAGTCCAGCTGCAGGCCATGCCGTGAAGGGCCACCACGCCCCCGTATTGCCCACAGACGCGGAGGGAAGACAGAATGTGTGGTGGGGGAAGAAGGCGAGAGCAAACGAGAGCAGGCAGGAGAAACCTGCCCGAAAACAGGCCGAGTCTCACCCCCAGAGAAATCAGGCTGCAAATGATTTTGTTATAAAGCAGTCAGATGCCCCAGGAAATGCCATGTGAGCCGTAATCCCTTCCTTCCTTGCCTCCCCCCACCTTCTCAAGCATCCGTGAATGGAGCTAGGGCATTGTGCTTGCCTTTCCCCTGCCACCTACGGAGAGTTTTACGGTCTAGTTCATATCAAATTCCTCACAGGCCAGAAATTCTTCCTCTAATGCTATTTAAAAGGCTATATCCCAGGCACATAACAATTAATAATTAAACGTGTTTCCCTAGACTCAAAGGAAATGCCAAGGCTTTCTTATAAAGCCATTCCAAGAATCAGACCTGCTCTTCCACATTTAAAAAAAAAACGTGTTTGAGACCCACGCATGACCTGCTGTCACGACTGGACGAGGAATCTGCCCGACTGAAGGGTCAAGCGGCCAGTCCTCAAGGCCGGACGTCACGGTAATGCCGTCTGACTCGGGGGGGGCGGGGACTCTCCTCCGGGAAGCACATGGTCGGGACACAGATGTGTGGACACAGTTTGCCTCATAGATAACCTGCCGGCTCCCTTCAGAATCGCCTCTCTGTCTTAACTGCTGTCTGCTGAAGAAAGCAAGTGAGACCTCTTTAGAAAGGAAAAATCGAGGAACTGGGATCTGGCAAGGAACCCTGGCCAGGATGTCCCCAACTGTACCTGGTACTCCTTCCCTACCCAACAACAAGCCCAGGGTCAAAGAACTGGGCATTTTCTTTCATCTCTACCCCACCACATGCGGTGGCATTGAACCTCTAGAGGGATAAGAGCTACCCTCCCTGTCAAGTGCATCTCCAGTGTCAGACCGAATGACCTCGGTCAGGGGCATGATCTCCATCGCTTCCCAGCCCCACAGTGGGCTCAGCTCTCTCCCCAGCCCCAGGTCGGTCTCCTACCCCAGCCCGCTCTCTGCCCTGGCAGGGCCTCCCCACCTATCACAGGAAGCAGAGAGGCACCAGACACTCTCATTTTTTTCACAGAGTCAGAGGCATTTAAAGTTGGAAAGAGCCATAGAGATAATACTTTCTCTAAAGAACCGGTCCTAATCCTGGGGGCCCTGTCAACACGGTCACCTCTCACTTTTGCAGGGTCCTGGATGCATCTCTCTGGAATACCTGGAGTTCCATGGCCACATCTAGTCTGATTCCCATCATATAGACGAAGAAACAGGTCTGGGGAGGGGACGTGACTCCTCCCCACACCCCCAAGCCACACAACTAGCAAGTGGCAAAGGCAGAGGCAGAATCAGGCCCCAGTGCACACCTCTCGTCGGCCCCACTGCCCTCACTTTGCTGGCAGCCCCAGGAGCTGCAGGCCCGTGCAGGCTGCCTGTGACACAATGAGGACGGAAGTCCTGTGGAGACTGTTCCACCACCGAAACAACTGGAAATGCAACGGGCACAGGTCTTGCCAAGTGAGAATAAAAATACTGTACTGAGGAATAACAGCTCCCAGAGCACGGCTGTTCTGCTCCAGGAGTTGATGGTTTAGAGTTCATAAACATGCAAACCCCCGGTCAGACAGCGGGAGTTCCCAAGACAGCTGAGGAACCGGAACCCTCCCCAAAGGAAGAGGATAGTAAAAGGTTAAAACTTGGCCCATCGTCATGGCCAAGGGCAGGGAAAAAATAAACCACGACATCCTGTTAGAAGGGGATTCACAGAGAAGGCAGCCTCCTGGGACTAGAAAGAAAAAAAAATACAAGACAGAATAGACGGAGGCGTTGGTACTTAGACTGTACCAACTTTTCACGGTGCAGCAGCTGCGTGTCTTCGGGACGACCTTGACAATAAACATCTGACACCAAAACAAAAAGAGAAGAGAGGACGTTAAATCGCTCGCAGTTGTCCAGACTGCGTGTGAAGCCTTTCAGCCTAGTCAAACTTGACAGCAGGCTGCAGGGACAGAAGGATATGGCCTTACTCAAGACCTGCGCCGTTGGCATGGATGGCGGCCCTGGAGGGGCCCCTTCTTTCTCGTGCTCCCTCATGGGCCCTGGTGGAACTGCCGCTCTGTTTCTCCAAAGCTATTAACACAGGTCAGGTTGCCCCCAGGGGAAGACCCCAGTCTTAATTTAGACTTGCCCATAAAGCATATGCATTATAAGAACAGATTTTATTTCTATTTTCCTGTTTATGCCACCAGCCAGGGTTTTCCTAGCAGCATTCTGGGACCTTTACCCAGCCTTCTTCCTGTGGCTTCTGGCTTCTGTTCTTCCCACCATCATCCATTCTGTCTCTGTCAGCTCTGGATTTTTCAAGAATCAGTCAAGAATCATTACTGCATTCTGAGATCTGAAGTACAGAGAGGAAGAGGTGGCCTCTCCCCAGTAAATGGCAAAATCACTGGGTCTTCATGAGGCAGAGGTGAGCTCCTCACAGGGCTCTTTGCTCCCATGCTTGGTTAGAGCTGCCCTCCCCCCAGTGCCCTCCCCACCACCCTGTCCTTGCCGTGGTTTTAGCTAACACGAAGACAGTGAGATAAAAAAGTGTAAGGGAAAGAGGGAGAAGGGGAAGAGGATGATGACCACAGGGTGGGAGGATTAAGAAAAGGGTGAGGGGCCTTTATTTTAAAGTCATGTTTTTAAAAATATGTAGTTTATGTATAGCAAAAATTCGCTCTTCCTAGTGTTCAATTCTATGAGTTTTGACAGGCACACAGCCTCGTAACCACCACCACTACCAAGACAGAGAACGGACACCTCACCCACCACACTCCTTTTGCTGAGGGGCTTCGGGGAGGAAACCAAGGTGTATTAGAAGTTGGAAGGAAGGAAGCCCTGGAAAAGGAGAAAACGACTGCACCAAAGAGGAAAGGAAGGGTTAGCTGAGGGAGTGAGACCCTGGAGGTGGTGAGGAGGCAGATGGCTACTCAGAAGGGGTTAATTCAAGTGACAAGGAACATTTTCCTGCTTCCTTTGCGTGGAAGGAAGGATGAATGCACTCGGGGTCTATGATGCATGCTGGGAGTGGATTCCTAGCTGTCTTACCAGCAAAACCCTTTCCTGCTCAGCAAGATGTGAAACTCCCTATCCCACGTCTTCTGTGTTGGAGGTATTATTTCCCACTGCAGTGACTGCCTGCAGGAACCGCATCACAGGAGTGCAGGCACAGGGTGGGATTTCTTCGGGCTGCGTACCCAAATTCTGTCATGCAATCCCACAGCTATTTCAGAACTAACTAACTTCAGAACTCTCCAAAGTTAAGTGCATCTGCATCTTTTCCTGTACCATCCAGTGGAAAAACTTGGCAACGACAATGGCTTCAATCCTCCTCAATTCATGTGACAGCCGTAAATGACTCACTGACAAAGAGCTAGACGGTTTCCACAGACAAGTCCTCGGGGCATGATTTGGTGAAGTCCCTTCCTAATGCCTGTGATGTCACTTCCATCTCTCCTCATCTTCGCAGCCCCACAAGCGCCACCTGGTTTGGGTGCAGGAGGCAGAAGGGTGTTAAACTGTAATTCTAAAACTGTGGGTGTCAAGAGTGAGTATCAAGTCGTGGGTTGCAACCAGCCTGTTTAACAATGAAATAGAATGGAAAACAGCAGAGGGCTAAGTGTGATCTCATGAAACTTTTGTTTTCTTGAAATATGTGTCTACAGTGGACTGCAATGTAAAATATGTTTCTGCTGTGGATCACAGCCATGGTCACGTGGGGGAAATTTGGGTGCAGAAGTGTGTGGATCCTCTACTAACAGTGGGAGCCTGGGCAGGTTACTACTGAATGTCCCTGTGGCTTAGTTAGATCCATAGTCTGCAAAATGGGGAAAATAACAGTATCTATTACACATGGTTGTTGAAAGGATTAAAGAGAAAATTCATGGAAAGCATTATGGACTGTGCCTGATTAATAGTCAATGCTTATTATTATAATTTCTCTTCCTCCCTAGGTCTGTAGCCTAAATCTCTGTTTCCTACCCAGAGCTTTCTTCTGAGGCCAGAACTGTCAACTCAACGGCCTGCTTGACCTCTCCACATGGTTGTCCCACAGGGTCTGCAGCTCAGCATATCCCAGCTTGGATTCAACTCGTCACCACCTTCTCCCTCCAGTCCTCACCCTCCCACCACCACTTCTGGCCCCTCAGTTGCACAGACCTTCTGCTGCTCCTCCTGAAGTCACTCCTCCATGAGAGGTGCCAGGACTTCACACTATGATCTGATTTGGAAATTGGCCTTCACTGAGGTCATCAAGTGAAAATGAGGTCACTAGGGTGGGCCTTAACACAATATGATCCTTAATAAGGGGAGATTTGGGCACAGAGACATGCCTAGAAGGGAATGCACAGGAGAACCCCAGAGAGAGCCAAGGAATGCCTGAGGCGAGGAGGGAGGCACAGAACAGAGTCTCCATCACAGCCCTCGGAAGGAACGAGCCCTGGCCACACACCTTACAGCTCCTGGTGTCAGTCCCTGTCTCTCTGCCTGCCCCTACACGGTCTTCTCCAGTTTGGCCCCATCCTCCCTATTGAACTTTAATTCCCACACCTTCCCCACCTAGACCTCCTCCAGGCAGGCCTCCCTGCTAATCCGCATCTGGAAGACGGCTCTCCAACTTTTCTTGGAATGTTCCCGACAGCCTGTTATGTCCAATCCACTTCTCTGTTCCATCGAAACTTGCGCATTCTTTAAGCACTAACCATAGTCCCTCTTCCTCAGTGATACTGCCCCTGGCTTTTTGGCCTGTGGTCACCTCTCTCTCCTCTGAACCGTCTTTGTGTTTATCATTGTGTCATGTAAGAGGACACTTGATTATGTCTTATTCACATAGTTTCCTCATGGGCTAAATTTTATTTTTATTTTTTTCCTAGATGTTTCCTGCGTGGTTTGTCACCTCAGTAACTGACCATAGGACTCCGAGAAGCTGTGGGAATGTGCAGGCGCAGGCTCAAGGCCCGGCTTCCTCTCCAGCATTGTGGAAAGGGACTGTGCAGAGCCCTGTGCTCCCCTACGCCACCTGGACAGAGCCCGGGGAGAGTGACCTCCCGGGGTATCCATGCTGGTTAGAGTTAAATTTTAATAATTAATCTCTATTGTACATTACTTTCCCAGACACCTTCCTAGATTTGTTTTCTCAATAAAACATGAAGCTCTAAATGAAATCTAGAGCTTCCCACATTCTTGCATGACTTTATCATTTGTCATACAATCGAGTATTATTGAGCATTTTGGTTTAGAGAGAAGGATCTCCTAAGGATGAGTTCTAACTCTTGGGTTACTGGGAAAGTCACTGGTCTTCTGTAAACCTTACTTTCCTTGCCTCTAACATGTTACCTCTCAGGTTCATTATAAAGATATGATGGAATAATTTATGGAATTCATTTTTTAAAGGTAAAGATTTTCTCAAATGTGAGATTAAATCATTATTGTCATCTCAGTGCCAAGTTAGCTCAGCTCAAAGTTACCTGCTATGCTGATGAAATTATGGGCTTGAACCAGTGAGCTGGTTCATCTGGATTCATGCCACAGGGGCCAATAAATCTCATGACTAATAAAAGGTGAGAGGAGGAATGGGGAAAACTGCACGGCACATCCTGAGGGGTCAGCAAGGTTACATCATAAATAAAAGATGGACAGCATACAGTCACCTCAATCTACCTTAAGGCATGCAGTATCCCAGGTTCTCGGGAGAAATAACTGACAGTCCCCGACATAATCAGCTCTGGTGCAAAAAATCCACAAGGCTTTACCTAAGTCAAGAGTTTAATGTTTTATTTTGGGTTTTCTTCTGTAATTGAATTCTACTGGTTTTAAGACTGAAAGCTAACCAAGAATTGATAAGCCATGCCTGCAAACAAAAGGCAAGTCAACCTCTGTCATTTAGAATCTCAATATGGCTCACCCCTTGAGCATATTGAATTAAGAAAGAGCCAAACTCTCACTCCCATTTCCAATGAGGATGAGCTTTAGAAGTACACAGGGTCAATAATCACATCCCCAAACCATCAAATTTTCCCTGCAAAACCAGCCATATAAATTCAGACTTTAAAAAAAATTTAAATATTTTTACTTTAAAGGGGTTCAATTAGCCCTGGCTGGTGTGGCTCAGTGGATTGAGCACTGGCCTTTGAACCAGAAGGTTGCCAGTTCAATTCTGGGTCAGGGCACATGCCTGGGCTGTGGGCCAGGTCCCCAGGTGGGAGCTTGTGAGAGGTAACCAGTCAATATATTTCACTCTTAAATGTTTTTCTCCCTCTCTTCCCATCTCTGTAAAAATAAATAAAATCTTTTATAAAAAATGAAGGAGTTAAATTCACTTTTTTTCTTTCACTTCACCTTCAGTATTTGTTTCACAAACTTTATACCCTAGCCAAGGATTTCAAGTGAATCAAGTGACTGTTTTTTAAGCTGCAGATGCCAAAGACAGCATGCATATCAAGTGTAATTATTGTAGCAGTCAGTATGCATAAAATTTAGAAAGGTAGGCCCTGAATTTCTAGGAACAGAAAAACAAATGAAAGACACAAGCAGGAGTCCTGGGCTTCTCCACCTGGAATGAGCCAGTCCCTCTAGTCTGCAGGTGAACTCCAGTTTCCCTTGACCACCACCTGCAGATACCAGCTGAAGGGAAGGGCTGAATAATGAAGACAGAAGACCAAACTACTCACAGAGAGAGACCCGGCAGCACTTTAGTGAATGCCTTTATCCAAAGGACTGGATGAGGAGGCAATAGTTTAGGGAAAAAAATCTAGGAAAAGAAATCTGTTTAGCGCTATCTAGATTCAGTTTTAGCATGGAGCATCCTGTATGCAATAAGCAAAACATGCCAAGAATATTTTGTACCGCATTATAAATAAAAACCAGCTCCCATGCAGATGGAATTCAGAATTTCATCACCCCACAAATCTGTCTTCCTCTCATTACAGAAACTGCTTTAACTATTCAAAGCAAATTCTTAATTACTTCCAGTCTTGATATTGTAAAGCCTCTTTAGAAAGTAGTATGAATTTGATCTGTAAGAGATGCTTATTAAAGATTCAGGAACGAAACAAACAAACAAAAAAGATTCAGTAACTTTGCTTAACAATGTATGTGGACAAGTAAAATCCTTGTAGAGGGAATCCCTGAGAAATCCAGTATGCTTTCTTTTAATGAAATTGTGTTACAAATGAATAAAACACACCTTCTTCTGTGGGATCTATAGCTGAAGTGGAGCTATTAGAGCAAATCTCACGAGAAAAAAGAGCACTTTGCACAGGCCCCCCAAACCCTTCACCCTCACACCTTCCCTTTCCAAGCTCCTAGATCTTTTCACGTTGTCTTGGCGGATGTTTTGGCAGCTTGAGTATGGCTCAGACTTCAGGTATTAATTCCTTTGTACTTCAAGTTTCTCAGCTGAGACATTTGGGGAGGAAGGGGATGAAGGACCCTCAAAGGGTAATTACTACTTAACATCCGAAAATAGGGGGAAAAGGCAAAAAGATTGCAGTCAGCTTCTGCCCATCCTTCCTCTCATCGATGGCACCCTGTTACATCACTCCTTTGTACAGCATGACCATGTGGCGTCCACGTGACCTGGGGCAAAAGAGAGCCTCTACCATTCAAGGCTCGTGTTGTAGAGTGGGTGGCATGACGCAGGGATGAGGCACTGCTTCTCTAAAACCCAAATGGCTTTGTAAAAAAAGAATTCTTTTTACTGGTAGTAGGAGTCTGGAGACCACATTCTCTAACTAGTTGTTACATTTTCATTTGATCAGTGGCTTCATATTGGCTCAGATTTAGAAGAGAAAGACATCGAGTCCTGGCCATTTGTTTTCTGCAGCAATGGAGAAGCAAACACTCAGCCCATCTGAGCAACTTTTTATCCACTCTGCTTGGGTGACTTCCGATGGGCCATGCTAAATAAGGGCATATCCACGATATGTGCCTGCATTTCATGAGAGGTTCACTTTTATAATCTCCTCCTTTCACTACTATGGCAATCATTTTGCCTTTTAAATAAGCAGAATCCAATACATAGGGTTAGTAGAAGCAGTCCTAGACACATGCTGAACAATACGCAGAAGCCAGCCATCCCAAATCTGCAAGGAGACAATTCTCTCACCAACACCATGGAGGTCACTACCCACTGAGATAGCCTGTGTGCTGCTAAGGCTAACTGTACAGTTAATCTTGAATTACAAAAAAAAAAGTGGGGGTGTCAGAACTGACCCCACGCTTCCCTTCTTTTGAGTATCCTGCAAGTTCCTGCCCTTTCCCTCCCCCTCCTTTGCTTCTAGTGCACTATTTTAATTCCCAGCAGAATCATAACGAAGGCAGGTTTCCCAGCAAATAAGATAGATGGGCCCCCTCCCATTTTACCAGTTGGAGAGATACAGGCACAGCTAAGAAGATACAAACCCCATTCAATGTGGCTGATGCCTTTTTTATCCCTGGGTGAAAGACAAGAAAACTCACCCTGTTTGGAGATTTTATACTATAGCATTGATACCATTGTTGAATGTGCAACACTAATTTAAATAAATTGCATGTAGTCAGCAAAAGAGTCAGTTCTTTGTTTAGTCTAAGGGGCTATTTTCATGATTAAGGAGACCTGATCTCATCCTCTTAATGAAGGCAAAGCTGAAGGATGTCTATCATTTACCCTCCAGTCAGTTTGATGCCGGCCCACTTAAGTGTTGAGTGGCACTATAGGAATAAAGCCAAATACCAAATAGGAGTCTTGGGTTTAGGTAGAAGTGTAACTTTGCCCAGGTCATGTTGAAAGAGCCAAGAACACACCTTCCGCTACCAAAAGAAGCAAAGCTCAGGTCAGGGGACCATCTTGATTTCCTTGGGAAGTGGGTGTAGCTGGACGAGGGTAGAGGGTCCTACCACAGCCCTTGACAGTGAACAGGTGGAAGAAGGATGCTCACTAATGCCTGAAGGTACCGCCCAGGCTTGAAAATCCCTTCAAGGCTTATGCTCTGCCTTTTACACTGTTGTACCTTTCAGTCATAAAGCAGGGGACTTGACACATAATATTTGTTCAATAAATCCTGTGGGCTGGCAGACTCAGCTTGATATGCATCTTTCCTTTCTTCTACCTGATTGGACAGAGTTGAACACAACTGCGTCTACCTAATCTTTCACATGTTGGGTCTTACGCCAAATCTCTCTTTTCAGGAGTCTTACACTGAGAGACTTCATTTTGTTTGCTTCCCGGTCCTCAAAACCATCATCTCTGAAGATCAGCAATGGGAGTCCCGAAATTCTAGTCCTGTTCCTAACAGCAAATAAGCAGGTGAGCAAGACTGGACCCTCTCTGGGTGTTTTGGTTGAAAGCAATGGCTACGTTGAAACTAAAAAAGACATCCTTCACCAGCAGGCATTCTGAAACCTGGAATACATTTACAATAAGGAGTAGGTGATTTAAAAGGCTAATCACCTCCCAGAACTGCAGTTGCCTCTAGCATACTTCTACAAATTGCGCTGGTTCCAAAAGCCTGCACTCTTAGCTTGATTCCTTTCAAGCAGTTAAGGCAGAAATGAATCTGTAGCCACAGCTTCTATCTGAGCACCTTTAAACTGTCATAAATTAATAAAGATGCTGACAGGCACTGGTTTTCTTGGACTCAAGGACACATCCTCATCTCCCTGGCCATCCCCTCTGCCTAAATAATTTCTTCTAGATATCCAGGATATTACAAAAAAAGAAGAATGTACTGAAAATTCCAGGGTGAAGATATATCTGTTCAAGGATTAAGATGAGAATCAAAAGCAGGACATGCAAAAATAATAAAAAGGAACTAGCATTAGTAGACAAAATATTTGCCAACAGAAGCTCAGTTGTTGAGATTGAATTTCTATGAAACTCTAAAAATATATGTAAAAAAGCTGAGTGGCCAGTAAACAGTGGCTCAGTGCCCTTGGATTTACTCCTCCCTTCACTTCCCCTTTACCTATTCATCTCGAAGGTTCTACTTGACAATTCTTCTAATTCTGACCAAATATTATCCCTATCAAAGACCACTCTCTTCCAGGGAAAGTAATAAACTAAACTCACAGATGTCCTGCAGGGACGCTTTCAGACCTGCCAACTAGTAAGTCAGACTTAAGATCGAACACCTAATAGCCTATAAAACAATGGTGGTGATGCAGTGTGATAGTAATTCAGCCTTGACTCCAGACTTTTAAGATAATCTCAGAAAGGCTTCTCAAACAGACGCCCTGGAATATATTTTCACGTGAAACCCAAACGGAAAACCGTCATTGTTCAGATCTGCATCATTAGCAGCAGCACAAAAAGCATCTTCCCAACACGTGCCAACATAAACCTTTCGAGCCTGTGCACATCAAGCTAAAACTGCCTTTTGGGAATCTGTAATCCAAGATGGAATCGGTGTAAACCAGGCAGTGGAGTGGCGAGAGAGGAGGAAAGTTCTGAAAAATGTTTGCTCCCCAAATGTCAGGATTTCCAGGTGGCATTTTCTTTCCTTTTTATTTTAAGATTTTATTTTTTTTTATTTTTAGAGAGAGGGGAAGGCGGGGAGAAAGAAAAGGAGAGAAACATCAATGTGTGGTTGCTTTTCACACGCCCCCCACCAGGGACCTGGCCGGCAACCCAGGCATGTGCCCCAACAGGGAATCGAACCTGCGACCCTCATAGGCCTGTGCTCAAACCACTGAGCCACACCAGCCGGGGCTCCAGGTGTCATTTTCAAAGGTTCCTAGCACATTGCTGCATTCCCCAACTGGGTTATCTCCAGTCAACAGGCACATTTGAACCTGGCAGCATTTGAAGTGGTGGTGAGTTACTGCTGGGCAGAAAAGGCCAAGTAAACAGATCACTCATGAGCCCCATAGTAAATATACAGTTTCTTTCCAAGTTAGTGGACAAAAATTCAAAGGACAGAATTCAACCCAAGGGTGGACCAAAGGATAGGTCAGAGCGTATGCCGTTAATTTTCAAGGAGACTCCCTGACCCACTTACACTCACATCTTATGAAAAGATCCTTCCACTTGTGTTTCAATATGAAGCAGAAATAACAGGCTGACCAACCAGGAAACCATGCCAGTCAACATTCAAATGATGATCAAGATGTAGGTGTCATGTTTAATTTTGAAAGATACAATGGACTTTCCAATGGAGGATTTAATAAACAAAGATTTTTCCAGGAAAACAAGGGCAGGGCTTGGAAAAAAGTTTCTGAGACTAGGTAAGGGGGACACTGTCACCTAAACAAACCTTGACACTGAAAGGTAATATCCTGGATTCCACAATCCCAGATAAAGTCATGGCCATGTACCTACATGGGATCGTATAGAAAAAAGTAGAAAGAACAGGGAGGCTACAGGGTAAAAAAATGTGCAATTATGAGGGTGAGTAAGGAGATTGGCTGTTAACCTTCCTGCACCCACTCCAGAATTATCTCACCATGAAGATATTTCATTAGAGTAGGTGGCCTAACCTGACTCCACCAAATCTGTATGTACCCTGAGGGAGGAGGGAAGTGGAGACTTTTGTTTTCATGTTTTTTAATTGACCCTTAATGGCTAGACGTACCTACATTTGAACAGGAAGGAAACATAACGTAATGTGCGCCATAAAGAAGTTGATGAAATGCTTGGCGTCTTTGGTTGAGGTTGTGGTAGTTGAAATGTTTTGAATCCTTCCTGCTCTTTTGTTTCCTACAGCTGAAGGGCAGGTACTAGGTCTGCCAAGGGTGAAGTCAAGTGGAAATGTGAGACTAGAGGTCAAGTGCAACTGGGAAGCCAAACTTGACACAATGCCTCCTCCTAAGCCCTGGAAAAGAAACCCCGACAGGCAAGTTGTCATGCAACGATACCTGCAACTATATTCTTAAAACACTGATGGAAGAGCTAATCTCCATTTTTAAAAGGAAACAGGCTACAAACCGTTTACTGAAGAAAAGGCATTGGTATGCATACTGACACAACAACCACCCGACCTAACCCACCCTAAGGGCTAACCTAATCTTTGGATGCCTGGAATTCTAAGTGCTTTAAAATTAGCTATCTAAAAACCAGTTGGATCTAAAGCTGTCTCTGTTTCACAAAGGAAGGCTGATGATGTCTTGGGGGAGGGAAGGGGTAAAGAAGGAACCGGTGGCTCTCTGGGGTCGGACTACAGAGGGGAACAAAGTGGCCATTCACAAAACGCTTAGAATCAGGCAGGCATGCCAGGCAACAAACCTTCCTCCCCACCCCCAGCCTTGTACCTGATTTGTTAGCAGCACGAAGTTTCCAACACAGGGCATGTATTTTTCAGAACATATCAATCCAAATGCACCCTGAAAAGCCTAAAAAAATCGATATCCCCCGCCTCACCTAAGCCAGAACTGTTGTATGAACTCGGGCGGAGGGTAAGGGTCGAGGCTAATAGGACGGAAATCTACTTGAGTAGTTCTAGGAAAATGGCCAAAATTTAAGACAAGGGGTATGAGGGATGGAGTGGAGAAAGAAACCCAATTTTTAAAAATTAGTAAAGCTACCACTTTAAGATTGCCAAATATCTTTTCCTTTTTGTTCCTCGGTGCAAAATGACATTAAAAGCTTTACTTCCGAAGCTTTGCGCACGCACTATTTAAGGAATGGCAAATGGTTCCCAAGCCCCGGGAGACCTCCGCTGGCCCAGCCTGGGCGCCAGGCAACGTCGGAGCTGAGCGGTTCCACAGCCCCCGCGGACAGCGCCTGCAGCCGCTGCGGGCCGCCCCCGCGGGGCTCGGGACCGGCTTCCACTCGGAGCTGGGATCAGGAAGTGGACGGCTCGCCCGCTTCCCGCACACCTCACCCCCTCCCCAGACCTCGCCCCAGGGGAGGTTCCAGGTGGGCAGGACCAGGCCTCCCTGGGGCGGCCGCCAGCTCCGCCAGCACCACCGCAGAATCCCTGACTTACCGCGAGACCCGCGCGGGGGCGGTCGAGGACCCTGCCTCCGGCCCGCTGTGCCCCCTGCCAGGGCTGGGCGTGCCCGCTCACGGCCGGGCACAGGACCGAGGCGCTGGCGCCGCTCCTCCCTGCCGCCGGGATCCTGCCGTCCCGCGGTCTCTGAAGGTGACACTGCTTCGTCCCCAGCCGTTCCTGAGCGCTAAACTGGAGTAGTGACACCAGACCAGCGGAGGGAAAGCTGCCTCCCGGCTGGAGGTCGCAGGGCCTTATCTCCGAGTCCTCGGCTCCAAAAGGCCCTCGGGCTCCTCATTCCCATTCTGCGCTCAGGCCTGAGCAGAGGCATCTGTTTCCCCCAGGCGGAGCGGCAGAGGCAAATCCTGGATTACGTGTTGCCCGGCTCTATTTCGCAGCATTCCCGACCGCTGGCAGCTAATCCCCCACGGAGCAGGAAAACAACACGCAAACCGGTGCCCAGTCCCAGAAGGATTTCCCAGCGCGATGACTAAAGGCTCCAGAGGCCAGCCTCCAGGAAGGGCCAATCGCAGCCCTAGGGAGCAGGAAAAAAGGGGCTTGGCTCACCGTGCAGGTCTGCTCCTCACGTGTCCTGCTGGCCAGGCCTGTAAACACACCGCAAACTCTTCCCCTCAGGGGAAGTGACTGGAGTTGGAAGGAGCCTAGAGAGCTGAACGGAGCCAGCCTTCATCACAGGACGGTGCATTATTAAAAGCAATCACAACTCCCGGATGGGAGAGAGGACAAAATCTCTGCTCTACCTTCATGCTCACAAATGAGTCAACTACAACACAATCATCACTGAAAATGATGAGATATTACTGTCTCTCAGGGTCTTGTTTTTTACTCTAAAATAGGTTGGGGTGAGGAGCCTTCCTTCCTTCCTGCCTGCCTGCCTGCCTGCCTTCCACATTGATAGAGTGTCTCCTATATGCCAGGCCCCAGACTGAGCCTGAAGTCTTGACTCTCAAGTGCCTTACTTTTGGGGGAGGGTGGTAAGAAGCGAGACCAACAATTGTAGTGCATTGTGAAATTGCTGTGATGGAGTCTATGCCCAGAGGGTTATGAGAACACAGAAGCAGATTTAAGCCTATCCTTCCCAGGAGAGGCTGCATTTGTTTTGAAGCCTGAGCAGGCATCAGGTAGGATGAGGAGAGAGAAGTGGGGTGGGGGGGGGAAGATCTGAATGAACCTCTGCATGGCTGCAGAGAGCAAGTGCTAGGAGCAAAGGTGAGAGGTGAGCTTATGGAGGGCAGCAAGGAGTCAGACCACAAAGGTCTTACCTGCTAAGCTCTGGGATTTGACCTTTGTTTGGAAGCTATGGGGACCCCCTGAAGGATTTTAAGCTGATGAGTGACTTGATTAGATTGTGTTGCAAAAAAATTACTGTGGAAGACAAATGGAAGGAAGACGGCCTGGCCTGGGATGGACGGGAAAGGCTCCAAAGATGTGGGAGAGGTAGAACCTTTAGTGACAAGCCACAGAGTAGAGTTGTAGCTAACACCCAGGTGCCGACGTGGGGCACCACGGTGGATGGAGGGTACCACTCGCCAAGAGAGAAAAAAGGAGGAGGAAGAGCAGGGAGGACCAGAGATGTGATGACCTGAGTTTAGACAAGTTGAGCCTGTGGTTTTTGTGGGTTATCCAAGTGCACATGTGCCAGCAGCTGGACAGCCACTTGGAACTGTTAGGTAGTTTGGGCATTATGGGCTAGCAATACGATGAGGTGGTTGTCCACTTATACGTAGGAAGCCAAATACAGGAGTAGAGAAAAATTCACATAGTTCGCTAGAGCTGTCCTAAAAAGTGCCATAAGTGAAGCAGCTTAAACAACAGAAATTTATTTGCTCATGGTTCTGGAGGCTGGAAATCCAAGTTCAATATGTCAACAGGAACTTTCTCCCTCTGACTACTGCTGGGACGAACTCTGTTCCAGAACACTCTCCTACCTTCTGACAGCTCCTTGGCTTGTGGCAACATAACCCCAATGTCCTCATGGCCTTCTCCCTGTGTGTCTGTGTTCAAATGTCCCCTTTCTATAAGGACCCCAGTCATATTGGGTTAGGGGCCCACCCTACTCTAGTACGATCTCATTTTAGCTAGTCACAGCGGCCTTATTTCCATCTTCTCTTTGGAAATTACCCTATTTCCATGTGAGGTAGTGGGACTTCGGACTCCAACATATGTATTTGAAGGGGGAGGGACACACAAGTCAACCCATAACATTTACACCATGTGGACTCGGTTACTAAGAGCAGGATGAACTATGGAGATGAGGAGAAATACCAGCTTTCAGTGGGAAGGGAGCTCTAGATGGGAACAGAGAGAAAACTGGTTAGAAAGGAGCACAAATGGTGAAGAGGAATGTTTAAGAAAGGAGTGATTAACTTTGCCATCAGTTCAAAAAGTCAGGCGAGATAAAGCTAGGAATTGCCCATTGCCTTTGGCGATGTGACAGTCATCGGACCATGTGGTCAGGCTGCTAGATGAATTTCAAAGGGCTTGCTCAGCTTGAACATTTTGTTTACACCACTGTCTAGGCAAACCCATCAAGAGGGATGTGGTACAGTGGACATTTATTTGGGCCTTGCCTCCCAGGCCACCACCTGCTTTCTTGGCCTGCCCTGCAGTTTGAAACTCTGACCTAGGCCCCTGGCATCAGGTGGAGGGACACTTGACTTCAGTTTGCCTAGAACAAGATGAGAAAGCAGACTGCAGAGAAGTCACTTCCTGTGAGGAAGCAGAACCTGGTGGAGTGATGTAACCTTCAGGGCTCGCAGGGGCAAAGGTCCCAGCAGCTGTCCAAAGGTGTGTTCCTGGTGCCTGTGTCTGCAGGAGCAGTATCAGGGCCCAACCTGCACCCATCTGCTGGTATAATTTAGACGTTGTTCTCAGCCGAGTGGCCTCCAAGCCTGATTCTCTGGATTTCTTAGAGATTCTCTGAGCCACTCACTGCTCTTTTTATAAAAAAAAAAAAAAAAGTAACAACCTTATTGAGATAAAATTCATATACTACAAAATCTGTTCATTGAAAGGGTACAATTCAGCAAGCAAAATAGAACCAGGGACATGGAAATAAGAACAAACTGACAGTGACCAGAAGGGAGGGGGGAGGGGGATACAGGGGGAAAGAAAAGGAAGGGTCAAGTCAAGGAGCATGTATAAAGGGCCCATGGGCAAGGATAATGGGGGGGGGGGGCAGGATTGAATGTGGGGGGAGTGTAGGGCAGGGGAGAGTAATGGGGGAAAATAGGTTCAACTGTAACTGAACAACAATAAAAAAATTTAAAAGACCTCACAGGTGAGAAAAGTAAAAAAAAAAAGTGTACAATTCAGTGGGTTTTAGGATATTCACAATGTTGTACAACCATTACCACTGTCTAATTCTAGAACCTTTTTTATTTTTTCAGTTTTTAGAGGACAGAGAAAGGAGGGAGAAAGAGAGGGAAAGAAACATTGATTGCCTGCCCCCTGCGCGCCCCCAAACAGGGACCTGGCTCACAACCCAGGCATGTGTCCTGACCGGGAATTAAACTGGTGATCTTTCGGTTTGTGGGACAACACCCAACCCACTGAGCCGCGCCACTCAGGGCTCCAGAACATTTTCATCATGCCAAAAATGAAACCGCATTCTCGCTAGCAATCACTCCCCATCCCCCCTTCCCTCAGCCTGCGGCAACCACTAATCCACTTTCTGTCTCCACGAATTTGCTCATTCTGGACATTTCGCACAAATAAGATCCCACAATATGGGCTTTGTGTCTCGTTTCTTTCTCTTAGCAATTTTTTTAAGGTTCACCCATGCTGTCGCACGTCAGTACTTCATTTGTTTTTATCGCGGACTAATATTCCATTGTACGGACAGACCATGGTTTGTTGGCCCAGTCATCGGCTGATGAGCGTGTGGATCGCTTCCATTTTTGGTTAGCATGAATAATGCTCTGAATACTTGTGTACCATTTTTTGTGTGGACATATATTTTCATTTCTCTTTGTTATACGCTTAGGAGTAGAATTGTTGGTTCCTATGGCAATTTTATATTTAACACTTGGGGGACCGCCAGACTGATTTCCACAGTGGTTACATCACATACTACCCCTAGCACGGCCTAAGGGTTCTAACTTCCCGTGAGTGTGAAGTGGTATTTCATTGTGTTTTGATTTGTGTTTCCCTAGTGACTAATAATGCTGAACATATTTCATATGCTTATTGGCCATTTGTGTATCTTCTCTGAAGAAATATCTCTTGAAATCCTTTGCTTATTTTTAATATTTTTTTAAAATTGTGGTTAAATATTCATAACAAAATTTACCATTTTCACCATATTAAATATTTAATTCAGTGATATTTAAGTACATTCATATTGTTGTGCAACCATCATTCTTTGCCCATTTTTAATTGTCTTTTTTAAAAAAGTTTTTATTCATTTACTTTCAGAGAGAAGGGAAAGGAGGGTGAAAAAGAGGGAGAGAAACATCGACTGGTTGCCTTTTGCACGCCCCCTACTGGGGACCTGACCCACAACCCAGGCATGTGCCCCGACTGGGAATAGAACCAGTGACATTTTGGTTTGCAGGCCGTGGTGCTCAGTCCACATCATCCAGGACTAACTGTCTTTTAAAAGTAATGTTTTATTGTTGAACTTTCACATTTTAGATACAAGTCCCTTATCAGATGTGATTTGAAAATATTTTCTCACATGTGTAGGCTGTTCTACCACTCTCTTAATGGTGTCACAGCCATCTTTAATAAGTTCCTACTATGTGCAAACTAGCTGGAGTAGCTTCTGTCACCAGGAGCTAAGAACACTCAGAGACACACTGGATTCTGTTAAACACCACCCTTTTCCATTTTATTTTCCTATAGCAACAGGTCTCACGACACATCTTCAATATTGCCTTAGATTATTTTTCCTGAAGTGTTTCCTATTCTGCTGGAATCCCACCCACAGCTTACATTTCCTGGGTGCAGACCCAAAGTATCAATGGCCTCCACTAATGCAATTATGACACAGCCACAAGCAGCCCTCCCACCTACTTCCCACCTCTGTCCAGCCCTGACCCAGCACCTTGACCCTCCGTGCAGTGCAGTGCCCTCTCTCTCTCCAGGCTCCTCCCACTCCACTCCTCCCTTTCCTGTTCTACTGCCAGGAGATCTTTTGGATGAGGATCAGTGTCCTATTTAATCTTTGGATCATCCTCGATGCCCAGGACAAAACTTGGTAAAAACCTGGAGCACAATAAGTACATGTTAAATTGAATGGGATCTTGTGCCCTATTTCTTTTAGTTTTTA